CCCGTGGCTGCTGGCCCTCCCTGCCCTCTGCATGGGCACCGGCACGGGCTCGGTGGGGTGGACGTGTCCTGGTGACCCTCAGGCACAGCCTGGTCCCTTGTGCCATGAGCAGGAGGGAAATGGAGCTGCTGCACCAGCTCTGACATGGAGAGGGTTCATCCCATCCTATGGGTTCATCCCCAGCCTATGGGTTCATCCCCATCCCAGTGCATTCTATGGGTTCATCCCATTCCATGGGTTCATCCCCATCCCACAGGTTCATCCCCATCCTGTGGGTTCATCCTATCCCATAGGGTTCATCCCCATCCCATGGGTGAATCCTCATCCTATGGGTTTATCCCCATTCCGGTGCATTCTATGGGTTCATTGCCATCCCATGGGTTAATCCCATGCTAGAGATTCATCCCCATCCCATGGGTGAATCCCCATCCCAGTGCATTCTATGGGTTAATCCCATCCCATGGGTTCATCCTATCCCATAGGATTCATCCCATCCTGTGGGTTCATCCCATCCCAGGGGTTCATCCCCATCCTATAGGTTCATCCCCATTCCAGTGCATCCTATGGGTTCATCCACATCCTATGGGTTCATTCCCATCCTACAAGTTCATCCCCATCCTATGGGTTCATCCCATCCCAGTACATTCCAGGGGTCCATCCCCATCCCATCGGTTCGTCCCATCCCACCCCAATGCATCCCATGGGTATATTCCTATCCCATGGGCTCATCCCATCACAGGGGTTCATCCCCATCCCACAGATTTATTCCATCCCAATGTATTCCATGGGTTCATCCCATCCCACAAGTTCATCCCCATCCCACAAATTTATCCCATCCCACCCGTTTGTCCTATCCCATGGGTTCATCCCCACCCCACAGTTGCATCCCATCCTAGAGGTTCATTCCCACCCCATGGGTTCATCATATCCTAGGGTTTCTCCCCCACCCCACAGTTTCATCCCCACCCCACAGCTGCATTCCTGGCCGCATCCCACCCAGCAGGTACCCCCACCCTCACCACCCCCTCCCCGCCTCCTTCGGGACAGCACCCGCCACCATTCCCGGGGCTCTCCCAGCCTTCCCAACCCCTTCCCTCCCCGCAGCTGAACCTGGTCTCCAGTGCCACCCTCTCCAAGAGCACTTCGGACACGTTTCCYGACGGTTTACCTCATCCCCCCACCTCGGCCACGGCGCCCATCACCCCGCTGCGGCAGGGCCCCTCCGTCATCAGCTCCTCCACGYTGCACGGCGTGGGGCCCATCCGCAGGAGGAACTCGGACAAGTTCTGCACCCCGATCTCGTCAGGTGAGCCCTGGGGAGGTGTTCAGCAGCCTCCATGGGGTGCAGGGTGGGTTCTCTCACTCCAAATCTCCCCTCTGTTTGCTGTTCCCCCGCAGAGCTTGCACAGAATCACGAGTTTTACAAAAACGCCGACGTCCGGCCGCCCTTCACGTACGCCTCGCTCATCCGGCAGGTGAGAGGCTCCCTGCGCCCCAAAACCCCTCCCTGAGCACCCCCCAGCCGCCCAATCCCTGTCTCTGCCCCTCGGGATGGGTGTCTGACCCCGAGAGTGACCCCATGTCCCCTCCCTGGCTGCCCAGGCCATCCTGGAGACCCCCGACAGGCAGCTAACCCTGAATGAAATCTACAACTGGTTCACACGGATGTTCGCCTACTTCCGGAGGAACACGGCCACCTGGAAGGTGAGAGAGCCCCGCCTGGCACCCTGGGCTCACCCCATATCCCTCTGGGCTCACCCCATATCCCTCTGGGCTCACCCCAGATCCCTCTAGGCTCACCCCATATCCCTCTGGGCTCACCCCATATTCCTCTGGGCTCACCCCATATCCCTCTAGGCTCACCCCATATCCCTCTGGGCTCACCCCATATCCCTCTAGGCTCAGCCATCCCAACTGGGCTCACCCATCCCGACTGGGCTCACCCCATATCCCTCTGGGCTCACCCCATATCCCTCTGGGCTCAGCCATCCCAACTGGGCTCACCCCATGTCCCTCTGGGCTCACCCATCCCACACTGGGCTCACCCCATATCTTCCTGGGTTCACCCCATATCCCTCTGGGCTCACCCCATATCCCTCTGGGCTCATCCATCCCACACTGGGCTCACCCATCCCAACTGGGCTCACCCCATATCTTTCTGGGTTCACCCCATATCCCTCTGGGCTCACCCCATATCCCTATAGGCTCAGCTCAGCCCACCCTGGACTCAGCCCACTCCCCCCAGGGCTCACCCTAGCTCACCCTGAGCTCACCCCATTTCCCCCAGGGTTCACCCCAGCTCACCCTGAGCTCATCCCATTCCCCCAGGGTTCACCCCATCCCACCCTGAGCTCACCCCATTTCCCCCAAACTCACCCCATCCCACCATGGGCTCACCCCATTCCCCCCAGGCTCACCCCAACCCATCCCAGGGCTTACCCCAACCCACTCAAGATCACCCCATTCCCCCCAGGGCTGGATGGACAGAGGGGGGTGACAGGGGGACATCAGGGGACCTCCTCTGCCACCCCCCCCAGCATCTCCCTGGGTGTCCCCACCCATCTCATCAGCAAGCACCAAAAATTTTGTCACTGGGGAGGTTTTGTCACCAGCYTGGGTGCTGGAGKGAATTTTGGGGYARMAMAYGGCAAAASTGAGGAGGTTTTGTCCAGCCTGGGTGCTGGARCMAATTTTGGGGTAAAAAATRGCAAAACTGAGGAGGTTTWGTCCAGCYTGGRTGCTGGAGCAAATTTTGGGGCAGCACATGACAAAACTGAGGTTTTGTCACCTGTCTGGGGTGCTGGAGCCAGTTTTGGGACAGCCTCATTTGGGATGAAAAAACCAGCAAATTTTGGGGCAGCACATGACAAAACTGAGGAGGTTTTGTCACAAGCCTGGGGTGCTTTAGCCAATTTTGGGGCAGCACACGAGCTCTGGGGCTGCTCCCCTTTTGTTTTTCCGGAATCAGAGCTGAGAAAAGCCATCTCTGAGGGGATTGGGATGGGATCTCAGAGGAGCAGGGGGTGTGCAGGGAGCAGTTTGTGTGCGATTCTGAAATTCYGAGATTCACTTGTGATTCTGGGATGCTGAAATTCTGAGATTCACTTKTGATTCYGAAATTCTGAGATTCTGAGATTCACTTCTGCCCTCGACCACAGGAGATTTATTTATTTATCATTTCCTGCTGCCCATATTTACCGAGAGGCAGCTCAGCTCCCTCCTGCTCGGGGCTGCACAGAGTGAGGCGGCGCAGAGAGTTTAAATAAAAATAATTAAAATCAGCGAGGTGCAAG